GGCGGGTGATCAGCTCGTCGCAAGGCCTCTACCTGTATACAAACACAGAAAAACGCACACACACAAACTAAACATCCATGCCCTGAATTGGATTCGAACCCACGGTTCCGGTTTCCAAGCGAGAGAAGACAGTACATGCCTTAGACCGCTCGGCTACCGTGACCGGCCATATATATATAAAGCAATTAATTAACAAGAAGTTCTGAGAATAACTAATAACCTATTCTTTTTTATACAGCAGGGACCACGGACAAAACTACGCCTCCAACAACCATTCGTTGGCACGGAAACGTGTTTACCGGGCAGTTGCCTAGCAACGATAGACGGATAAACATACCGACACACAGACTGATGGTAGGGACGCCGCTGAGACGCATTCAGGTGACATGGCGTACATTCCAAATTTCAAAAACTCTGGTTCAGGCATTCAAAAGTTGATGAAGGGGGAAACACATACAGACAAACACACAGACAGCAAGATGAGCTAATAAGTATACTTTGTATTCTTTCAAAATATGGGAAGTGGGAAAATAACTAAAATGTACAATTACAAAAACTTGATTAAGAGAAACCATTCTGTTTCTAGCGTGTCAGCGTTCTGTAGGCAAAGTGAACTGCTGAAGAGTGTGTAGCAGAAGGGCACTTTTTCTAGTAGAACAGATATTGTACGTAGAAAAGTCTCCGATGTAGCGAGTAGGAACTCGAAGACCAACAGTTTCCAAAAGAGAAGGAAATAATTTAATGTCAAAATAAACTTGAGACAGGAACATACATAGAGGTGATGATGCCGCATCTTNGTTATCATAGAAGAACATGAATTTTACTGTGGCAGACATGTAAAATATTCTATTCAGTCCGCCTTATCTTGAATAGTCAATAAATTCTAAAGAGGATTTATGGCTGTTTTCTTCGGTGCTGGTATTACTTAGCTGAAATCAACTGTGAGCTACAAAACATTATCAACTGCGTCCAAAGTGATCGATAAATGTTTCTTCTCCTTAATCTTTCATCCTTGACATTTTTAGGTCGGAGCGACCATCTTCAGAAGGACATATCAATACAAGCGGAGACCACTATTGTAATGTGATTGGTTATTATCAGTGCATACATACATACACACACAATACTATTACAATGTCATGAATATAAAATCTGAAACTTTAATGACTACAGCAATATTCCTGAGTTTTATAAATATTTATACATTATTATAATTAGTTTATTTACAAGTGTTGATTAAAATATTTTTGTTAAAATTTAGAACCAACTGGTTCGTGTCTTTCATATTGCCCTCTCTTCAAAGGAAGGCGAGTGTTTACCACATCGTGGTTGCGTTGTTTGTCCAATTGGACTCTTTAGTGTCGTCCAGTTGTTGGGCCACGCTGTGTTGTTATACGACCGAAACATGCAAAGGATGAAAGGTTAAAAATATAAAAAAACATTTATCAGTCGCACAGGATGGAGCTGATAATCTTTTATACTATTGCTAGTGTGACGGACGAGGATGAACCAAATCAAAACTGTGAGCTACGAGTATTTAAACGCTATAGATACCCAGGACGCTCATCCACACCATATAACATTCTTTCTAGTGCATATTGAAGAAGTAAAATTGCTAGTCACTGTTAAATTTTAAAGGTTCCTAATTATAATCTTATTTGTAATTTTAGCAAATAAACAGAGCAGGTCCGTGTTGCTGCACCGGTGTGGCCCTACATTCCGCTGGTATCCGCTTCAAACGACGGTTTGTCTAATCTGTAGTTGATCTGTTACGTCGAAACCAACCCTGTGGTTGCCTAATAATTTCATACGCATATGAACTTAAACTCGAAAGGAGAATTTTGGATACAATTTTGTATGAAATTGATAGCAGTGATGTCCACCTATGATTACTGCAGCCAGTTTTGTCACCCTTCTTGTGAACTGGTACAATAATAGACTCTTTCCACTGATCAGGCAAATTTTCCTTGTTCAAAATAAAATTAGCTTATGGATCTTAGAATATAATATTTCACCTAGTGCTTGAATAATTTCTGCCGAAATTTGATTACCAACTGGTGATTTAAACATTTTCAACTTTGCAATATCAATTTCAAACTCAAAAGGACTAGGATCAGATCCTAACGGCTCAGCTGGGTGCATTCCTATCTGCGTAATATCACTGACCCCATGTACATTCAGTAACTGAGAGAAGTAGTTCTTCCATCTCTTCAAAATGATGTGTAAATCTGCAAGCAGATTATCATTCTCATCCTTCACTAAGTTACCACTAGGTTAGTAAACCTTCTTGAAGTCATTTATTCCTCTATACAGGTCTATAACGTTCTTGTTCTTACTGTTCATTTCAAGCTCATCAATTCTGTCTTTCAGATATTCTCTGTATTTATTCCTGAAATGCCTGCTAGCTTCACGTCTTATATTAATCAGATTATCCCCATTTATTTCACTTGGATCCTGTAACTACTACAATATTTCTTGCTTCCTATAATCTAATAATTTTGAGCGCCCCTCGTTATGTTTCTTCAATTCAAAATAAGCTAGACTCTCTTTGGCAGAAATTTTGGCAGTCTCTCTATAGTTTCCGAAGTTGTACTAAAAGCTACCTCAGCATCTAAATTTTCCGAAGCTACGAACCTACTTGAGATTTCAACACGATATTGCTCTTTACCCTGTACTTTTATAACTTCTGGAGATTGAACCTCTCCACATGAAAGGTGTGCGTTGTTTATTTAATCACTGTTAGTTTTGCCACCACCAGATAGTGCTCAGTATCACAATCTGCTTATCTGAACGATCGGACATCAAGTAAACATGAGTGCCATCTCCTATCTATAATCTAAACACCCAAATCCCAATATTCAAAGCACTACGGGAAACGAAAACCAGGTAGCAGCACGCAAGCAGTGCCTCAAGCAAGCAAACAGAGCCAAACATACGGATAGCACAAATGCAACACGAGAAGAAACGAAAGTAACATATTCGAGAAACGTGAGTAATAGCACAAAAACAATAACAGGAAAGCAGAAATAGATTATAATACCCACCGTATAAAGATATAAAGAGAGATAAACCAAATTCGCTGTTAGATACAAAGGTATAGAGTAACGTAACCTTGAATGACACGTCTAGAAGCGTAATACATCGAAATAAAGAAAGAAAAAAAAAAAAAAGAGCGGACACCTTAAATACGTACATATTGTACACCTGATGATGTCGAGTTAGGCCGAAACATATTGTGAAATAAAGCAGAAAGAAGAAACATCGAAAACCTAGCGGATTTTGATTGAGCTGCGCAAGGTGCCGGCGAAGAGAGTATTTCCTACATTTGTCGGACATCGAATCCCGTTTGTTCTCTGTGTAACTAATCAGTGTCACTGAGCCATTTGCCATTTACGTAACTAGCGTTATTCATAAGAACCCTGTTATTTCTTGCCGACATTAACTGATCTTCGCCGTTGACTCGAAGTCGTTATGTAACTCGGTAAATAATTTCACAAAAGTCTGTGGTGTAGTGGCTTACATAACTGCTTCGATTTGGAAAGCTCCGGGTTCGATGTGCGATCTTTCAGTCAACGCTACATTCTCGAAAAAGCATCGTTATGGTGTACTGAAACGATACCTTGGAGGTCTAAGGTCAAAACATTGAATTTGCAAGGTCGACAATGCCATTGGACGGAAAACAGCTGTGGCTTTAGATAAGGTCGGGCAGTGGAACAAGGAAATCTGCTTGCGAAAGGCGCAGGAAGTCGAGTAAGTGACTATCACTCAGTGATAGAACGAACTTGAGACGTTAAGTGGAATCGTGTTGGTGCTGTGAGTTGCTGTGTACACCTTAATTCTGCAGTACCCAGTTACATGGTAAAGTTGTCCTTGTGCTTAATTAAGCAAACACTACGCCATGAAGGCGTATGGGGGAGTGGGTGTATAAATTCATATTTTCTTGGCCTTGGAATTAGTTGGAGGTGAGTGGTCAGCTTCACGCGCCTGTCACTTAACCCCCGGGAAAGTAGCCCTTGGTACCCATTGGATAGGAGGCCGGTTGGGCCCCAGAGCCAGTCTGGACGACTTGGAGGAGTAAAATTTGTGCCCCCACCGGGACTCGAACACAGCCCTCGGTCGTCCAGCCCGTAGCCAGTCGCTATACCGACTGCGCTATCACGGCTGCGCAATAATCATCATGAACTCTGAAGGACTAGGTTTCATTGTCACATCCTATCTCTCTCTTTCACATGCCGTGCAGTGTACATAACCACTTCCATTCTTTACGAGCCGATAAGGCCCTTTCTAGAACTACAATACCAGTCAGTATGCTTTTCCATATCTATATCGTATAATCCACATCGGTATAGGATTCCTTTGTCAATCGGATATAGTTATTCAGGTAACAGTGTAGGCCTAAAGTACGGTAAGTTGCGCGTTACTTTACTGCGCATTGCAGAAGCATGGGGACGTTTTTGAAGGGGTTTGATGCCGTTTTATTATTGACTATATAGCGTAGTTGGTTGAGGGGCCATGCTACAAGCAGGAAGGTTGCAGGTTCGAGTCCCAATGAGGTAATTGGATTTTTTCGATTGACCTAATCCTTCCAGCCGCACTATGACCCTAGGGTCGACTCAGCCTCTAACAGAAATGAGTACCAGGAATTAATTAAATAATTTCCCTGGGGAGTAAAGCGTGGCCGCCGTGTAAGGCTGACAACCTTACCGCCATCTTTGAGCCGATTGTCTACATAATGTGGGACCCTCAACGTCTCACAAACTTATGGACCTCCACGGCCTGGTACAGGGATAGCTTTACGTCCTTTTTACTGTCACTTATTTTAGTTTATATTGAATCTGTGTGTTCTTTAGTTGAGTATCTTATTCCTAGTACATGCTTATCTCATTTTCAAACTGCAATCTCTCCTCACGAACTGGATCCAGGTTACCTGAACCTCCTTGCCTTCAGTCACAATGGTGTACGGTAGACTCCTCTTAAATTGCCTTGAATATGAGCAATGAGCGAACTTCACTACACTAGGTGAAAGTTATAATGTTCAGAGCCCGTTTAAGACCTACGTACGAAGTGGTAACCGAAATATCTAATTTCGTAAAGTTTTGTGCTATATTCTCAGAGAAGGGCAAATATCAGTAGTCTACCGATGCAAGGGAAAATTATAATAACGGAAATTATTACTACTTTTATATGTGGATGCCATGTTAGGTGGGTCCCTTGTCACCACGGCATGGCGCGTCCTCAGGTTACGGATGGAGGAGACGCCCTCCAGGTATGGAGGATAGTTGCGAATATATTGAATAAGCGTTCGCGGACAGCCGACAAGGGGTGGTCCTCCAGCTTGGGTTTTGGGCGTGGGGCCAACAACTCACAGTAAAAAAATAAGCTTTCTACGAAAGATCACAAGAAACCTAGGACCTGGACGGATTCCTAGGATAAACGACCTGAGAAAATGGATATGAGTTTTGGTACTTGGAATGTTAGAAGTATGCATAATAGATCTCGGATAGATAGGATGGTGTGGTGTGGATTTGATTGATCTGGCTCAGGCTAGGGACAAGTGGAGGATTCTTGTGAACACGACAATGAACCTTCAAATTCCATAAAATGCTGGGAAGTTCTTGAGTACCTGCACAATTGGCGGCTTCTCAAGAAGGGCTCAGCTTCATAAGTGAGTGAGTGAGTTTATGGGTGAACGAATGTTATTTATAAATCTTAAACTCCGCAATGAATTTCGATTAAATTTATTTGAGACTTTTCTCGGTACAGGATAAGGAACGCTGGTTTACAACTCTAAGAGTATAAAGCAGGCGCACTGCCCCACTAAGTTTGTCATCCTTATACTATAAACATGCTAAGATTATATGAAAGTCACTGAGAACGTGTTCAGGAAATGCCGAAAGACTCATTCTTAATGTCAGGCTGTTGTTCCAAACGTGTTTCAACGTGACGTCATAAGAACGTACGGCCCTGTGGTGCAGTACTTGACGTAGGAGGAAGACAGGGAATTACCTACAGGACAAGTTTTCTTTATCTAAAAGGTGTTTATAGTATTAATTTTACACCAGTTTATCGAGGTTTTTAGAAACATGCCACACAACTATAGGATAAGCCGTTCTACTTAGGAAAAAGAAGCATTGGTTCGTTATGAGGCTCTGTCAGCGTTGCCACAAAAGAGTGTAGAAGTACACTCTCGCGGTTTCTCTTACTCCTTACAGAAGTAACTGAAGAAAAGCAAAAGCAAATTGATTTCATTGCCATGATATTAGCCCTTGAAGTTTCAAAGGTACTTCTGGCAGTAACTTAATGTTTAATCGACTTGGGTTCTTTTACGTCCCGCTTTTTTTCATCGCTGGCACTAGCTGTCAGCTCTCAATTAAAAATATGTCGCTGTAGCTAAAACCGCTAAAATTCCAGGAAACATAGCATTTGTGCCATCCTGTCCACACAGCAAGAATGAGCTTGTGTTACCTTCTGTGTTTAAAAATGTGACTATCTGCTTACTTCCTACATATAACTTATACGTAGTTGTACTTAATTGCACTTAACAATTTATATTAATCCTAATTTCAATTAATGGTCACACGTGGTGTAGTTATACGATTCCGCAACCTCATTAGATGTCTTTCTATATCATGTTTTCATGGAGGTGTACACTTTATGGTATTTGTCGCATATAGGTTTTATTTGTTATTTTTATATTTCTTGGAGTGGGATGAGAGTCAACTTTGTACATCGGCCACTATTTGTATTATTGTACCAGCCCCGGACGTTAGAGAGGCGTGGAGCAGTTGGTGGAATGAGAGTTGGCAGAGGACACAAAAGTACTCAGAGAAAACGTGCCACAGTGCCAAGCATTTAACCTTCTTCGTCCACTCATTGTGAATAGTTAGTACAATTAAGTTATAAATACTTTGTCCTCACATGTAGTTCAGTTTAAGGGCGAGGGCACACCAAGGAAAATAGCAACGCAGTTTCATCAATTTGCGCTGCTCCATTCAGTAAACTGTGTTCAACTCCAGGTGATTACAATTCTCGGAAATTCCGGTTGCGTTCCGGTTGCCAATTTCCTTAGAGTACCCTCGCCCTAACAGTACACTTCTCTTCTCTCAACTAACCGATTAACTTCGTGGTGCAGAGTCCTTGAGAAGCTGTTACTCCCCTAGCTACTCAGTGAGTTTCCAACATTTTAAGCAACTCAGAAACTCATTACTGCTTTCACAAGTGTCTGCCACTGATCCCTATCCTGAGTGAGATGAATCCAGCCCACACAATAATAACACAGTTTCTAATGAAGGTAAAAAAAATAAAGCTATCTCTGTAACAGGCCGGGAAGGCCCATTGCGTTGTGAGACTTCGAGGCTCCAACATTTCCTCCCACAGATGGCGGTAAGTGTGTCAGACTTACGCGCCGGCAGCCCTTTTCCCCCCAGGAAGATCCCTGGTACTGATTTCTGTTAGAGGCCGAGTCGACCCCAGGGCCATAGTGCTGCTGGAAGGATTAGGTAAATATAAAAAAAATCCACCTCATCGGGACCCGAACCCGCGACCTTCCGGCTTGTAGCTTACTGTCTCATCCAACTACTCTACCGCGTGTCCCCCAGATTCTAACGATCTAGTTTAATGTTATCTCCCACCTAAACTATATCTTCCAAATGACCTCTTCCCATGAAATGATTTATAACACAGCGGATAAGAATGAATTTGTTGACAATAGCTGCAATGTTTGACTTGGTTATTGTTATTGTTACTGTTATTGCCATGGGAATATGATTAGATACTGGAACTATTTCAACACAAGAGATTTTAATGGTGATGGAACAGGCTTTTAAGCTTAACCATTTAAGCTGTTACTGTTGCTGTTGCTATTGATGATGATGATGATGATAATGGTGGTGAAAATCATGAGGATCATTTTGGCAAATAAATTTATTTAAAGGTTCATTACTTGGTTTCAAAATGGACTGTCCGTCTATGATTCAAAACTGAGTTATAGAATTCTGTGACACAGCTTTATGACTTTGATTTTATTGCAGATGGTCATATCAGCAGCACAACGATCATTCTTGCCTGTACTTCTGGTCATTCTTCTGGTACCAGAGGACATCTCCTGTGCGAGGTTCCTGGTAATACTTCCGACTGTGGTGAAGAGTCACTTTATAATGCTGGAACCCTACATAAAAGCCCTGGCTGGTAGGGGACATGAGATGGTGGTAGTCAGTCACTTCCCACAGAAACAACCGGTATCAAACTATACGGATATCGTGTTGGATGCTTCTCTGAAAGGATACAGATCAGGAACAGGCATTGCAATAGAACAAGTCCTATCCTTTAAATTTCCTATACTAAATGTATTTTCTCTGGCCAAGTATGGGGTACATACCTGTGAAACATTACTTAATCATCCACCAGTCAATGAACTCATAAAGTCAGATGAGAAATTTGACATTGTGGTTAATTGCATTTTTCACACAGAATGTTTCTTGCCTTTTGCATACAAGTTCAAAGCAATAAGTATAGGTGTCAGCACTTCTGTGTTAATGCCATGGGCTAATTATCGAATGGGCAACCCTGACAATCCATCATACATCCCGAATCTGTTTACACCTTCTCCAGGCAAAATGAACTTTGTTGAACGGACAGTAAATGCTGTGACTACAGTGCTATACAAAGCGATGTATTACTTCATGTCTGATTGTCCAGCACAGAAGTTGGTACGACAGTACTTTGGGCAGGACACTCCAGACCTAGCCGATCTTGCCAGGAACACGAGCCTGGTGTTGGTGAACACCCATTTCAGTTTGAATTCACCTAGACCATTGGTACCTGGTGTTGTGGAGATTGGTGGCATACACATCACCAGACCCAAACCGCTGCCTAAGGTGAGACAAGCACTAATGTGTTTCAAGTTATGTGTAATACCATTTAACTTGCAGGGCATAGCATCTTTCTAAATGGTTCTGATGATGGTGTATAACGCTCAAGAGTTACTGGGTTTTCGAACTCTGTCCAACGTCTGGTATTCTAAAAACTAGAAAACAGAAAATTTCGGAACCTGGATCTGTTTCTTTCCTCAGATGAAGTGTGACACACTTATTCTGTTAGGTCATTTAGAAAATGCTAAACTCAATCACCAGACAAACCATGTCAGAGTCAGAGTCACTTTACGACTGGCGGTTTACCGCCAGTCCGTTCATCTTGGTCATAGCCCTTATGTAACATCCTCTCTCACGAGAAGATGAGTCTGTCATTTACAATTGCTGCTGTCCTGTCCAGCGCATTCATTCTTAGGTCCGAGTCCCTTACGACTCATCAACACATTTTACTATTTTAGATTCGAGACTTCCCCAACCTGGAGGCCAGGTCCCTGTATTTATATGCCCCAGGAACAGGTTGGCCCAGTTATACCCCCAGGCACTGGGTTCCTTTCCGTCATCTTTTACGACCCACTGGACAACGGTGGAGGTAATTCGAACCCGCCTCCACTCCCTGGACGGCCAGTCTGCTATGACTTGACGCAAATTCGAGGTCGATCGCCCCCAACAGTTCCTCCACTTTTTGCGTTTGTATTCATTGCCGCGCAGACATAAGCTGGTCGAATCGACTCTTTACGACCGACGGCGAATTGGCCAGTCTATCTTGGAATAAAACACCCATTTGGGGCTTACGACCAGATTTTTATTACTGTCAGACGATTGCGTGTTTGTTGATGTGAGGCGCTCTCTTTGACAAGAGGATGAGCCTGTCATTAACAGTTTTTGCTGGTCCTCGCCAGCATAGTTATTCTCGTGTACGAGTCCCGTGGGACTCGCTTCCATATTTTACTGTCTCAGATTCGAGACACCCATTTTCGTCACCTCCTACGACTCGCAGGGCTACGGTGGAGTTATTCGAGCCCGCCTCCACATGGAATTAGTAATACCCATTATTATATTTTTACGTTATAGGCCCTACATGTGACAGTATTACGTGAGTATCAATTTCTCGTTTTATCACAATGAACATAGCAGACTTTTGAAGATGTTTTTATCTATACTCCATTGAAGCAAACCGGTTTACCAAATGTACATTTTTTCCTCATATCATTGTCCTTCATGTCAGTTTACTGAAGATAGTCCTAACAAGGTTGTTGTTGTAAATCATTTTGCAAATGTCACACTAGTGAATCAGAAAAAAAATGTTTAAATATTTTCCACACCCAGAGTTGTTTTAACTACTACCACATGTTACAGATTCACTACGGCTGTTAAAATACCTGAAACTTGGCTACGTCGAAGGGAGAGAACAGGAAAATATGCAATAAGAATTGTGATAAAGCACACACATTCGTGGAACAAGGATGGAGAAGGAAGAAGGGGGCTGGCTAGATGGCTACCACGTAACTGGCTTTCTGTGGAGTCCGTGCTGCGACAATGTTTCGGTGAAAGCCGTTACAACAATAGAGTCTTTGTTTTCTGTGTGGTCTGTGCTTAGGCTTATAAGAGAAGTGAATTTAGCGTAAGAGTCAGATCAGTAATAACTTACGCTTGTACTACTTGGGAAATAGCGGCAGATACTTACCCCCTAAAATTGCAGCGCATGCAAAACAAGGTTTTGAGCACCACTGGACATTCTCCAAAGCACATCAGTCCGCGACTTGCACACAGCTTTCAACTTTCCGTATGTATACGATTATATAACAAAATTGTGTAGGCGACAAGCAGAAGTCATAGAAAATCATGAGAGTGTAAATGTTCGCGGTATAGGCCAAGGTGAAGCCAGGTACAGAAAATATAAGAGGCTTAAACTTGGCGGTGGTCAATCTTACTACCGTTCAAATGAATGACTAAGCTGCAATTGTAGCATAAGACATTTAAGTTAGGCATGATCTGCTCTGTAAAGCCTGTACCGAGAGAGGACTTGGGTGTAGTGCAAAGGGAAGAATTTTCGATAACATGTTATATGTGTGAAATATACACTTGACGAAAGGTCAAGCGTATTCATAAGAGATGTTACATAAGGGATATTAGCGCAAAGTTCAGGTGGGAAAAAGAATCTCTGGTCGTGGTCCTCAAGGAGCTGACGCTAAGACGAACTGATTGGCGGTAAACCGCCAATCATAAAGTAACTCTGACTCAGACCCCGCAAATTGAGTTTTCAATTGAATACCTCCACATGACCCTGCGAGTCGTAGGAGGCGACGAAAAAGGAAGTCTCAAATCAGAGACAGTAAAATATCGTCTCGAGTACCAAGGGACTCGGACCCGAGAAAGACTGCACTGGCAAGGCCAGCAGCATATATAAAAGGCAGACCCGTCCTCTGGTCAGAGAGGGCGCCACACAAAAACAAGACATTAACTGTCAAACACCAATAAAAATCTGGTCATGAGCCCCAGATGGGGCTCTACACCAAGACTTACTACGTGACCATCAGTCGTAATGTGACTTTGGCTTTGAGAACAGATCCCCTGTGTCAGGGCGGGGTCGAATACCTCCACGCTTACCATGCGAGTCGTTGGAGGTGACGAAATGGGAAGTCTCAAATCTGAGACAGTAAAATATGATCTCGAGTCCAAATGGACTCTGACTCGAGAAATAGTGTGCTGGCAAGGACCAGCAGCATGTACAAAAGACAGACCCGTCCTCTCGTCAGAGAGAGTACCCCACAAAAACAAAACCGTAACTGTCAGACAGTAATAAATATCTGGTTATGAGCCCCAGATGGGGCTTAACACCAATACTGACTGAATGACTGACTGTCAGTCAAATGTGACTTTGTCTTCGACGTAGTAAATTCAGTCGTAAGCCGGGATAGCGAATTGGAACCAGGAGTACAGAAGAGTATGAGAGGTCGGCCTATGAAAAATTTGGGTGTAAATTAGAAGACTTTATGAGTGCTGTGATTTATGAAGTGTGTGTAAATCAGCGATATTGCTGTAATTTAAGCGCAATTAAGAAAGATTGTAACCAAAGTGCCAATAAATCCAGTCATCAGAATTAGAACCCTTCATTTTTGTCGCGCCTTCCATCCAACACATGACAATATAGTACCTACCGCTAGCGCCATTTGTGTTCAGGCTTTACTCCACAGATGGCGTTAGCGGAAGGCACTATATACGTGTATTTTCGAGAATTCAGCATTTAATTCTATGGATTGGTGTTCATGGACTTGATTTGTTGGCTAGGTTTTATTCATGAATTTCTACCCCTTTTCTGTTTGGGTTCCATGAGTGTGTGTGCTTTATTACAATTTTATTGAATATTTTCCTGTGTTATATTTTAGCGTCCTGTTACACTGATTCATGTCCATGGTTTATGCTGACCGTCTTACAGTGTATACACTTTTTCACCTTATTCTTCACTTCCACACTACATGTTTCAGCACTAATGTGCCATCTTCAGGTGTCTTTATGCACGTTAAACTATTGTACTGCATGCCATAATGGCTTCATTCTAAAATGACTAAAATCTGTATTCGTCATATAGGACGATGAATTCTAAAGAATAAAACTTTTCAGGATTCTTCCTACGTCGCACTCAAACACGCGAATTACGCCAATCCTCTTTTATGTGTGCGTTCTTCCTACGTATACTTGTGTATCGTGTTCTGTGTTGTGTCTTGCTCCTGTTACTGCATGCATTGTACTGCTGAGCGTAATTCGCGTGTTTGAGTGCGACGTAGGAAGAATCCTGAAAAGTTTTATTCTTTAGAATTCATCGTCCTATATGACGAATACAGATTTTAGTCATTTTAGAATGAAGCCATTATGGCATGCAGTACAATAGTTTAACGTGCATAAAGACACCTGAAGATGGCACATTAGTGCTGAAACATGTAGTGTGGAAGTGAAGAATAAGGTGAAAAAGTGTATACACTGTAAGACGGTCAGTATAAACCATGGACATTTTCCTGTGATTTCCCTTCCGCATGCCTGGTCTAAGGTATTTAAATAGCTGTAATTAATTTGACATTAGATGTCCAGTGACTGAAGTTAGATCTTTCTAAGGGACCTAACAACCTAGGTGTCCTCCCCTCACCTGAGCACGGAACCAGATCCATTTTCCAGAACGTAGTGCTGTCTAGTTTGCAGAATGCTGGAGAATGGACAAAGCTTGAAAATCCAGTAATTGTGAACATGGCATATTTTTTACTAGTAGTGTGTCTTGAAGTGAAAGAATTTTAAATGGATTACAGTGAGGCAACTCATTGTACAATTTTTTTTTTCCATATCGTTTGTATATCAGTTTAGAAGCACAAAATTTAAAGGAGCACAAATTGAGTGGGGCCGTTACTGGCTTAACTGTAAATGACAATTCCAAGATGTGGAAGGACCAAGTCTTTGTGAAACTGAAAGCAGGACAGTAAAAATATTTGAGAGGTATATGTAAAGCATTTCATATAAACTTCATATTTATTATGTAAAAGTAGTAAAAGTGTACAGTAGAGAAAAGTATGAGAATTGAGGCTTTCAGAGTGTTGAATATTCATATTGGGTTATGACACTGTGTTACTCTGGTAAGTGGTTATCAGTATTTTGGAAGAACATATTGTAGGCTTATGACTTTTGATTGAAACTCATTGTATACTAAAATTTGTTACTTGTAGGAAAATTTTCTGTACCCTTTGCATAGTACATTATTCTGTAAAAGTAAACCAGATTGTCCATGTGTTTCCAGCATCTACAAGACTTCTTAGATGGAGCTCACCAGGGGGTTATCTACTTTAGTTTGGGTTCAGTGCTTCAAGCTGAGACACTGCCTGATGACAAGAGGGATGCATTCCTGCAGGCATTCTCACAGCTGCCACAGAAAGTTCTCTGGAAGTGGGAGGCAGATACTCTCCCAGGACAGCCTAAAAACGTCCGAACTGAGAAGTGGTGTCCACAAGTTGACATCTTAAGTAAGTCTGTGTACAGTTATCATTGGTAGAACAGACTCTACAGTGATTCATAGAGCCATGTAACATATTGTGACTCAATTAGATTCATCTTCATAGTGACAAGACAAATGTAAACCCAATGGGCAGAATCAATGTATACATAATGCATTCCTGAAGCAAGTTTTTTAGAAAAAATATTGGTTGTACTGGAATGAAAGAAACGTGCTCCCTTTAACGTGGTTTCATCTTCTCTCTGTACATGTCTGCAACATGTGTACCCAAGATTGTTAGCATTATAAAAGCTGTGCTTCATTTGTGTGCATTCCCCAGTGGTAAATACAGGGCAGATCTTACCTTTGTTGACCGGTTCATGGTGCTGTGCTTCTCGGTGACCGGTGCATTGCCGTCTGTGAGGCACATACGAATTTTGCTGATGATTCAATATGCTTGTTGGTCAATAACATTCAGAATGAAGAACTTAAAATTCACAGATCACACAAGGTGTTGAAAATTCTGTCCCTCTGCATGGAGACTCTCCTCACATTGGTGGAAGACATACTGATTTATCCTTTGAAGCTGTTCTGCAGGAATATTTGCAGTTTCTCTGAGAATATTTTCTTTCAGTTTCTCTTCTGTTTGGAGGTTACTGCTGTAAACTTTATCCTTCAAACAACCCCAGAAGTAAAAATCACAATTATTACGCTCAGGCAAATGTGATGGCCAAATACCACTGCTGATAATTCTTTCCCTGAAAAGATATGACAAAACCTGCATAGATATATTTGCCATGTAGGCAGAGCTGAGTCTTGCTGAAACCAACCATGGAGACATTCTTCTTCTGTTAACTCTGGAAAGAATATCTTTTGCAATTATTTCTTTTGTTAAGAAACAAAGGTCCAACAATCCTTCTTGCACTTACAGCACACTGGACTCCAACTTTCACTGGATGGAGCAAGGCTTCACAGGTTAGATGTGCATCCCATGAATTCCATGAGAGATTATTTTGCATATATTTATATCCCTGCAAGTGAAACCACTCTTCATCAGAAAAGAATGTCAATAGCAGGTCAATTTCACCTTCAATGACAAACTGCAGAAAAGAACTGCAAGAATGAATCCTGCTAGCTGGATCGCGCTGCTGCAAGATGTGGATTACTGTTGTTTTTGGGGTGTAAGCTTTAGCAATAGTGTTGCCGTTGTCGCACTAGACGTTGACACTTCAGTCTCTTTAACCAGGCGTTTCAGTGTCACCTAACTTTTCCTCAGTAAATATTCGGCATTTATGTTTTTGTTTCTTGTCTGTTAAAGAGTCCAGTTCTAAGTTTGTTCACCAAATTCTGAAGTGTTGTCTACTGGGTTTGATACACAGTAACCCAGCTAAAGCTCAAGCTAACTACTTTCTGAATATGAGTTTGAACCACCCTCCAGAGGTATATGCATTGTGGCCTGAGCTGTAAAACGTTTCCAAAGAGGTATACTACATATGTGAAATACTCATTATACAAATATTAATTGCAATTTATAGCAGCTCTAAGGGTCCATTGCAGCAAACTTGATGATGTACTCTCACTTATGTTCTTGTACTGATAGCTGTATGGCATTACTGTCACCTAGTTTAGTGAAATCAGAAAATTAACTGTGCAGCTCAACTGAAAAATGTCAAGTACCTATCAACTTTGTCAAATAATGGTTCAAATTGTATAGAAATTACCAAGCTCTAAGACATACGTATATTGTGAGTAAATATCAGAGGAATTTGAGGTGAGAAGCAAGTTTAATGAATTATGTAGGTCACCAGTGCTGTGTACGCTCTTAAATATTGTTGAGTTTAAGTGAAATATATTTTCACAAGAAGTGTTACTTGTGACCGTGTATTGGCATTATCTTCCTTTGTTACAGCAGTGCTTTTTATTGTTATTTCCTTAAACTATTTTCTTTGTAGCAAGTCTTAATATTTTATTATTTCTGAGTGAAATTTGTTTATCAAATAATGAAGGAGGAATGTAGTGAATGAATTGTGAGCTTATGCAGTAGTTTACATGTTATAATTTTCTGAACACATTAAAATCTTACAGTTTGTTTTTCCACCTAGTATGTGTCTTAAGACAGATACATCATCATCGTATGGAGAGTGATGTTGAGATCTTAGCAGTGCTTCATTGTATTATAAGTAGGTGGACAAGTGTAGGGAGTGGATGCTTTTCACATTAATTTTTTAATATCAGTAACTTCATGTATTTACAGGACATCCTAATGTGCTTGCTTTCATATCACATGGAGGACTACTGGGTACCCTAGAGGCAACATACAATGGTGTGCCTGTGGTGGGCATCCCATTCTTTGGTGACCAAAGAAATAACTTGGCAAACCTGGCGGCGAGAGGGATGGGAATCATACTGGAGTACAGTAACATCACAAAGCAAAGTGTTCTAGAGGCACTCCATACTGTGCTGGATCAGCCTAGGTAACTGAACATGAAAATATATCATTAACTGAAAATTGAGGTTCTTACAGGTGTGACAATGAATATTGTTGTCTTCTGGAATGTGATGCTGTGCAATTTGCTATAAAATCCCCAAAGTACATGGTGTTACATCCCAGAAGACAGCAATTTTCATATCATTATCTCCATGCCAGCCAACTAATGACATCATAATGTAATATTATGATACATTGGGATGGTATCATATCAGACTTCTGGCTAATATTGGATGTTCTGACCATATTTTTCTTGGTTATTATTAATGTCTTCTTCTGAATGTCTGAATTGTGATACTCTCAGAACACTATAGGTAAGATAGAATTGTATTCCTTGGAAATCCTCTATTCTGAGGTTAATTATGTAGTTCATGACCACTTCTGCGCATATTCATTTTAAGCTGTTAAAAATTCATAGAGATTGAAGTACTTGTATGTTGAAATGAAATTTTCCCTGGACAGTAGCTCTAGGGAAGTTGGATTTAAAATCATTTTAAGAATTAAGTGTTGCTACAGCTGACTGGTCCAAGTATCTGTCTAATGGATATAAAGTACTGAACTGCAGTACCTCCAACTATAAGATAGCAATTGCGTGGTAATATTTGGCCAGTGGGGACAGATTTTAGGGCCTAAAGTTTGTATGCAAGATTTTAAAGAAGTTAGTTTCTGTCACTGTTTCAGGAGTATGTAAAGCTTTGAGGCATACCCTGAAGAAATTTCTAAAGGTAATCTCTTCAAACAATTTACAATTTTTAGTCAGCACATTTAACTATGCACAATAAACATAAATCACTTAACATAGTGTTATTGTGAGACCTAGGCCTGAATGGGAGGATAATATCATGTGTATTCTTATGTGAATAGGGTGTGGCAATTATAGCTCTACCTCCCTCAGAGATCGAATAATTGAATTCCTCAGTTGGCAAAACCATCGTTGGCAGAGGATTGCTGTATTTGGTATACAAGTTCCCCTGCTTTATGAGACATTAATATAATATTAATTAATTGTACATTTGACACTGAGGACTGAGGAGTGAGAGAACTTCAGGATGTAGAAGGCAAAGAACTGTTAGACCTAAGTTGAATAACTGAATCCTTTGGAAAGACTTGATGTAAAGAAAAAGAGCCAAGTGCTCTGGAAACTACTACTCAAAAATGAGTTATTGTAATAGATCTTGTCAAATGAACTTCATCTGATGAAAATTTGAATGTGTTTGTAGTGTGCAAGTTAATCTTAATATGTGGACAATTGTGCTGCTGTACTGGTCACACAATTTGGAGCTATGGCTCCCCTAACAACTAACTATAAGTAGTCACTTAAATAAGCATTTGAGGAAAGCTTATATTTCTGTGTTCAAATTTCATGCTTTTACACAAAAGACTGCAGAAGTTATTTTTTAACTTAACTTATTGTGCTCCAGCTAAGGGGATTTAATTGTTTAAATACTCCCAGATTGAAAATTTTAAGGCATTATACAAATATTTGCCTGGAACTGTTAAATATAAGCTTACAAAAACCTAGGAAGTCCATACTTCTTACATGCACATCACATGCCATACTGATATGATGATCAATTCAGTTTTAGTCTATGTTTTATGCTCGTTTCATGATGTTGTAAGGAATGAACAGAAATAGGGACATTGCTCTGTTATCAATATTCACCAGCATTTCATTTCACAGCTATAGAGAGAATGCACGGTGCACTGCACATATTTTCCGTGATAGACCACAGTCTGCCCTTGATACTGCCATCTTTTGGACAGAGTACGTCATCAGACATGGTGGTGCACCACATCTCCGAACTGCAGGAGTGGAACTTGCCTGGTACCAGTACGTGCTATTAGATGTCATCGCATTTATATTGGGAACAATCCTCATCTTTGTCTTTGCAGTCAGAAAGCTTTTCAGACTGCTCTGTAGCACCAGGAAGGTTCCAAAGAAGAAGAAACAACAGTGATTGAACAGATTTCTTTTTCTGTGGATTAGTTACTAATTTTCTGTATGTGACATCTTTACTGACATTGTTATTTTTGATAGATCCCCTTACATTTTATTGTAGGCCATGCCACAGCTCAGGCTGTTAGTCACCTGCTTTCCACCACCATGTCCTGGTTTCGATGACAGGACAGGTCACCTGGGATTTGTGGTGGATAAAGTAACACTGGGGTAGGTTTTTCCAAGTACTTTTGGTTTCTCCTGCCAACTCTCATTCCACTGAATTCTCCACTCTCTTCATCTATCATCTGGGGCTTGTACAATAGGCCAAATAGTGGCTGATGAATCAAGTGGACTCAGTCTTACCATATCCCAAGAAATAAAAAAGGAGTTGAAATTACATTTTATTCTTACCTGTCCTAGATATTTTCAGACGATACTGTACTTCGGTGATAACTTGTATAGCTAGATGCTACAAGCTAGAAAGCTAGAAGCTAAAAAGTTAAACAATGAAGGTGTATCAATGTTTATGATTTGTTTCATTCTGGTCCGTCACACTAGCAATTACAAAGACAAAAACAACCCCATCTAGTGTGACTATTTAAGTTTTATCACTTGAAAACTCATCACCCTTATATATTTCGATCCCTATGGATCATCCTCAGAGGGCATCAATACTTTTTCTGGAAACTACTATCACAATAGGTGTTAAAGTATATATATACACATATAATGTCTGAAATACACAATGTACACAATGTTCAACTTTTCACAATCACAGCAGCCTTCCTGGTATTAAAATTTTTAAAGTTATAAATTTTAATCTTAAACAACAAAGTTTTTAAAATACTTTTTTAAAAATTTAATAAACAATAAAGTTTTTAAAAAACTTTAAAAATTGTAATACCAGGAAGGCTGCTGTGATTGTGAAAAGTTGAACATTGTGTACATTGTGTATTTCAGACATGATATGTGTATGTATATAATTTAACACCTATTGTGATAGTAGTTTCCAGAAAAAGTACTGATGCCCTCTGAGGATGATCCATAGGGATCGAAACATGTAAGGGTGATGAGGTTTCAAGTGATAAAACTTAAATAGTCACACTAGACGGAGTTGTTTTTGTCTTTGTATAAATGTTTAATTAAACATCACACCGTGAAATGTATTGGGGATGAAAGTGTAGCTCCATGCATACTAAACATCAGCACTAGAGTGATATGAATGGTCTGCTTCATGTCTCTGCTGCATTACCCTTGGGGAAAGAAACCCCAGTATCCATTTGGTATGCCTCAGAGCTGGCCTTGAAGCTGTGAAAAAGAGAAACATCTTTTTTTTTTCTTTTTTTTTTTTGCTGCCAGAAATCAAACCTCCAGTCCATAGTATTGTCTCCATACAGACTGAGCAAATCATGCTTTCATGTATAGCTCTCACAATGTAACTAATTTCAAAGGAATATTTAATAGCCATCTTAAATGATGATTCAAGCATGTCTTATAAGTAACTATATGCCTTATGATTTTTTTTCTGACATAACTTGGAACTATGTAATGGGGAGAAAGTAGCAGACAGTGTAGTTAGTACTTGGATATACCCATCTCCAAAAAGCCAAAAGAGAACTTTGCAGAGGAGAAAACTTATTAATCAGTTAAATTTGGTAACAAAGCTGTAACTGAAACACCTATAATCAGTAACATGAGTTTAATATTGAGCTAATTATTTAGTTAAACAGTTGAAAGTTAAAAATATGCTTTAGCATCATTGTTATTGATACCCATTAAAGCCTGAAATTAATTAATATCTACAGTTTGGGTTGACACTCCTATCAGAAAAATCTCTAGGGACACCAACAACCAAAACTTGACGAAGTAGTTCATCTTTTGTTAACTTTGCGTTCCTACACATTTTCTTTCCATGTGACTCCATTACCTGGCTGAGACCTGGAGAGACTTTGGCCAGACATGGAGCTACAAGTACAAGTATTTGAAATTCAGCTTTGGTGTGCATGTGTGAGGAGCAGTAGATGTATTCATACAGCGCTGAAGCAAACATAGTAAATAAACTGCACGTTTAAATCATTCTTTAACTTCAAACACCAGTAGCGCAGTACCTATTGAAAATTGGACCCATGTCATATGACATCTGAATAGGAATGTCCATAGGAATATGATCTTGTAGTATTTACATGATGTCATGACACATCCTGCATATTGCTCCATTCTTCTCCTGCAAGTGTCAGTTGAACAGGGCCACTACTGTCCTGTGAAAACTGAATAACTATAGTTGAGCTGGTTGAAATATTTTCACATGCTGCGGGGGTAAGAGTTGGTAGAAGGGGAGGGCCTTGTAACCGTTCATCCTAATTTGGTGGACTGTTTTGTATTAATTAAATCTATATTAAGTTAATATCATGTAATTACAAAGAGATCCGGCAGATAGCCAACTCTTACACGCAGAAGGGACATAGTTCAAGTTTTGCTATGTGGACAGGAAGTAACATCTGGTACTTTTCCTGGAATTCTGGCAGTTTCAACAAAGTCGGAAAGTCTTTGATAATTTGAGAGCTGGCAGCTTGGAACAGCTATAAATTAGAAGTGGGGGGGCTGGAGCCTCATCCCCTGATCGTAATGCATGAAGTCGCTGTCATCCTTAGCGTCAGGTCAGCAACTGCCAGAATCACATAGCAAAGCAACATGATTGGAAATTCACAAATTTAGGGAAACTCCTAGTTTCAAAACTGAACCAATCACAAAGTGGAGGAGTGGATTTCTCTTGGAGTCTGTGGTTTGTGAACCTCAGGATTCAGAGAGAGTGCATTCCACCTCAGAGAGTTTTCATCCAACTTTCGGCAAAGTCGGACACAAATTTACAACTACATCCCTTCAGTACAAGTATCATAAGTTAAAATCCAAATAAGTGTTACTAATAGATTCTGTCGTATTCAGTGAGCTGGAGTGAATTAAATAAGTACTAAGTGCAAAAGTCTGAAGTGGTGTATGTGATTGTAGTGTAAGAATCTTCCTGCCCTGCCTGAGCCAGACCCATATAAGACCCCGGGATAAGAACTCATCTCTACCAATTACAGAGGAGAACCCAGATACTCCCATCTTTCCCTACTTGTGAGACACCTAATGGTAGCACAGGAACGGACTCCCGCCTACCAGCACCAACAACCTCAATTCCCCTCCCTTCTCACCAAACTTCTCGCCATCCACGAGAAGAAGGAGGAGGGCAGTAACTCCAGTGGAGGTGTCCAGAAAGAGGTGCAGGTGAATCGCAGCACAAGGAAGGAGAGGACCCGGATAAGTGGAGACCAACATAAAGGGCCCAACGAAGTGAGCGGTTAGAGCCTGTCCCCTCACTCTAACATTATATCAACCTACTGACATCTCTGACCCAATGATGGAGAGTGAGTAATCTACTGATAGGAGTGGAAGAGGTTAAAGGCATAATAAGGGGAGCACAGGCAGGGAGGGTAGATGGTATGGTAACTGATCCTTGCTTACACTTTGGATGGCTCCACTACAAGATATAAACCAGACTCAGTCATGGGTCCTACAGCTAGTTGCACGTAACCCGCAAGCGGCTGTGGGCAGGTGAAAGTAAACTCATTTTTGCAGATGTCATCAGGCTCAGCAGTCAAACGAAATGTATTAAGAAAACAAGGCAAAATCTTGACCAGATTAAGAGATTTGGGTATGTGTACTTTCCTTAAATGAATGTGTTTCTATAGAAATATCCATAAGGAATTAATGGAACAGTATGCACTATTGCTATCCACGAATTATCAACTGAACCAACATTCATTTTATTCCAGTCAACAGAAATCTCAGTCCAGTTCTTGGAAATATTAAGGTATTTACAATTCTTTTGTCTATCTTTACTTTTTCATTGCAATCAGACAGTATTTACAGTCATAAAGATATAAGAGAGAAGTGGGTTTTGATGGAAACGCAACTTCTTACATTCCCAGGACATAAGTTTACTACTTTGATGTAATCTTCGTACACCAGCTGTAAGAGTTCAGTCCGTGTGTTCCTTAGAACTCTGAAAGCATGTATCAGAATCTCTGGTGGTGTTCACATTGATTCTTAATACTGTTTTCTTCAATAAATTAACTACATTTGTATAGCATGATTATTTAATACTGACTAATATAAATATTTAACAAATTATGAGCTACAGACTTTTTGAGCGATGCTCTCTGACCGGCAGTCACTTTGAAATAGCCTCAATTTGTCCTACAAGTAAATGTAACAGCCCAGAATTTGCAATGCGTAATGCAAAATCTTCACGACAGGCAAATATTTATCTACTTTCAAAATATGCATCCCATTGTGTGTCTTAATGTACTTTCAATTGCGGCAGTCAACACAAAAATAAATCTTAATATACGAAGACAACCGCTGTAGTTGTGAAAACTTTGGATTTTTTATCTATTGTGCATTACAAACATTGTATGTGTATATATTTTAAGGTTCAGAACACCCATTGTAATAGTGGTTTCCAAGCAGTATTGATGTCCCTCTGATGATGGTCTATAAGGACCAAAACATGTGAGGGTGTTAAGAACTGAAGTAGTAAAAACTTCAACAGTCACACTGGATGGAGTTGTTTTATCTTTTATAAAAATAAAAAGAATACACATGAGACAAAATAGATACTATCGTATCAGCACTTGTTTATTTGTGCAGTTCTTATTGTGACATATTTCGCCCTTTCTTTTCAGGTCACCCTCAGGCAATACACATCAAATAGCTAAGTTCGTGAATTGTGGCAAAGAATAAACTAAAGATCCGTATTAGAATAGACATTAAATTAGGCGCACCTTTAATGTCCGATATAGAGAGCACATCAATACCAATAAACTAAAAGAAATAAACTCCGTGACCTTTAGTCCGCAAGCGAACTGTACCGAACGAGCGACCGCCGCTTGTCGGCGAAGTTAGTGCCAACTTTTGCGGGATAGAGGGTGTCGCGTGGGCAGAGTAACGGATTCCCTCAGCTGTTAATTTCGGTTTTTTAGACCGGAGCCGCTACTTTTCCATTCAAGCAGCTCCTCAGTTATCCTCACGAGGCTGAGTGGATCCCGTTACAGACCCAGAAAATCTGGTAGCGCCGGGAATCGAACCCGGGACCTCTGGATCTGTAGCCAAGAACTCTGACCACTAGACCACAGAGGCGGCCCATCAATGCGATTAGGACTAATAAACAGCAGAATTACAATATGCGCAACACATTGAAACTGGACATGCATATGATACGATCGACCAAGCCATGAAAGTACTGAATATTGCGAAAGAAGGGCGCAAGTTCAACACGTTGGAGGGGTATCATATTTACGACCTCTCCAAAAAAAGCCTTGCAAATGAATGATACATTTACTGATTTAAATAACCCGATATTCGATATTCTAACAAAACCCTAGAGTAACCCATACTTTCCCCCTCCTTTCCCACATATGTCTACGTGACACCCCCTTCCCCTCCCTTCACCGACTCAATGTACCAACTCGCGACCATATACCGAAGTTACACGTAAGGCCCCTCACTAAGAAAATCAGTTTCGACGGAACCGTTGGTACAGCGTTTTTATCATCACCAAGGGGACTTAAGAAAACACACAGCACAATAGCCACGTAATACGGAAGTACATGCACTGACTTACTTATATAAGCCTTTAAGAACCTTTAAAAACATGAACATGCACATATAAAAAGCTTCTATGCCGCACTTAATCGTTACAGCCAATCCCGCACAAAATCTATTGGAACGGGAGTCCTACTCAAAACATTGCGGTTAGACCTCACATAGGAATAAAAATAATACTGGGGATAGACCTTACATAGCAGCAAGAAGAGTGTAAATCAAACAAAATTTAAAATGTTGAGAAGGACCCCAATGCACCAAGGCCCCCCCCCCATCAATAGCAATTCGACCATCTCGATCACAGGGAAACAGAGCAGACCAATAATTAGCCGCCGCATAACATGTTTCAATATTTTTAACAATTTAATTTTTGTATTGTTTTAAATTATCTAATAGCAACTTGTAACTTTAATTGTATAAATCGAAGTTTAATAATTTAATCTCTATTAAAATATGGATCCATATTTAATGCTTTGACACAGTTCATGGACTTAATGCTGTTGGTTGGGTATTGTCTGAGGATGAGCCAAAAAGAAAGGGCAAAACATGAAGCAATAAGAACTGCACAAACAAACAAAAGTTAAGGCGATAGTGTCTGTTTTGTCTTATTGAGTATTGTTGTTATTGTTGTGTTGACTGCTCCATTTGGAAGTAAATATTTGTCTAGCTAGAGATGTGTGAATGTTGTCTCCAGTTCTTCTCAGCTCTGTTTTGATTTCTTTTGGGGTTTTGCCGTGAACTTTTTAATGAGTTTCCTTGTTATAATGTAGAAGAGAAGGAAGACAGTGATAACAAAGAGGAGGATCACTGCAAGAACATCAAGCAGCAGATACTGGTACCAGGCGAGGTGTAGTATTGCAGGACGCAGATGTGCTGCTCCTTTGTGTCTGATGACATATTCCGTCCAGAAGATGGCAGTGTCCATCGCGGACATCGGTCTGTCCATGTAAATCCTAGACAGATGCTTCGCGTTCTCCCGGTAACTGTACACAAAAGGATAGCTTTATTATTGCTAGCAGCAGGGATGCAGTATTTTAACTTCCACTGCTACACTGCGTGTGATACTGTAACCGTTCATTCTGATGGGTGAACTATTGTGCATTAATTAAATCTGTATTAAGTTAAGATTACAAAATTACAAACAAAGAGATCCGGCAGATAGCCAACGGAGAAGGGACATAGTTCTAGTTTTGCTATGTGGACAGGAAGTAACATCTGGTACTTTCCTGGAATTCTGGCAGTTTCAGCAAAGTCGGAAAGTCTTTGAGAATTTGAGAGCTGACAGCTCGGAACAGCTATAACTTAGAAGTGGGATGGCCGGAGCCTCATCCCATGGTCGTAGTGCATCAAGGGGCTGTCAACCTTAGCGTCAGGTCAGCATCTGCCAGAATCACATAGCAAAGCAACATGATTGGAAATTCAGAATTTAGGGAACCTCCTAGTTTGAAACTTTAACCAATGGCAGAAGTGGAGGAGTAGATTTCTCTTGGAGTCTGGGGTTCGTGGACCTCAGGATTCAGAGAGAGTGCATTCCACCTCGAGGAGTCTTCATACAACTTTCGGCAAAGTCGGACGCAAAATTTACAACTAAGGCCCTTCCGTAAAAGTATTACAAGTAAAGTTCTAAATAAGTGTTATTAATAGATTCATTTGTATTCAGTGAGCTGGAGGGAATTAAATGACCACTAAGTGCAACGGTCGAAAGAGGTGTGTGATTGTAGTGAAAGGTTCTTCCTGCCCTGCCCGAGCCAGACCCATATAAGACCCGGGATAGGAACTCAGCTCTACAAATTACTGAACAGAACCCAGATACTCCCGTCTTTACCTGCTCTCGCGTACCAGCTCCAACAATCACATCTCCTCCCTCCCCACCTAACTTCTCGACATCCACGAGAAGAGGGAGGACGGTGATAAGTGGAGCACAACGTAGGATAAAAGGAGGACTGTAAGAGCGTGGCGCCCAACGTAAAGGGCCCAAAGAAGTGAGCGGTAACAATACATCGGAATTCCTGAGGCAGTCTTTGTCAGTTAGTGTTATACGCATAATATTATATTTCAACATCATTTTGCACTAATATCTCACTCGCGTCTTTCTATATTGCAAACAAAACTTTTTATTTGAAATGTTATTTGTATACAATGGACACACGCCTGACCTAGGGAAAGTACTGACAAAGGAACAGAGCGTGAACGCCGCAACATGAACATAGCATGAGGAAAGTGTGGGCGTACATTCTCGAATACAACGACATGCCATTACAGCACATAAATATACTGACATGTAAGCCCATGCAGTGCAGTGATTTCGATCAGTTAGCAGTTGCCTGATAATGGTTTCGTGAAACAGAAACATGTAGCAACAAATGTCATTTTAACGACATTTTAAGAACTTTTAATGTAATTTAAAAGTTGTGTTTACATTATAGACGGAAGTGAGTGTTATACGCGTAAATATACGTATGCGATCATGTGCGCACATACTTCACGCCTGAAAGTTGGGCTGAATATTATATGAGATTTAATTTAAAACTTATATATTTATACCTGAAAGAAGAAGAACCTGATGAGTATGAAATACAAATTTGAATTGTTTTGAGCTTGATTTTTTTCTGAAATAAATAGAAACTGATTAATATCTGAAAAATTAAATACTTGAATTGTATCTGCAGCCATTGGAAAGTACGAGTAGAAAAGAGCACGGTTGGACGAAGTGTACTGCACCGTGTTTTTACAGCTTACCTGGGTTCATCCAACACAGTGCGGACTGCCTTCAAGATATTCTCCTTACTGATATCTTTGTAGTTGATACTAACTCCCATCTTGAAATCTACGATCGCTTTTATATTCATGGGCTGATCGGCAAACATGGGGATGCCCACCATGGGCACACCCGCGTACACTGTCTCAATGGTGCCCAGCAGTCCACCGTGGCTCACAAACACGCGTACATTGGGATGATCTGTCGGAAACAGAACAGACGGACTAAAACTGCGGCGACTTATATGTAATCTCTCATGAATCCTTATGGCGGAAGATGTACATGTACTGGGTGGGGAGACATATTAACCTAAAAAAGAAAACACCGTGGTTTTAGCCCGCAAGCGAACTATACTGACCGCGCGACCTCCGCTTGTCGGCGAGGTCAGTGCCAACTTTAGCGGATAGAGAGTGTCGCGTGGTCAGCGCACGACCGGAGCCGCTATTTTTCTTCTCAAAAAGAATTTTAAAATAAACAGAATTACAGATTTAGATGAAACTCGTACAATTTTCGGAGAATATACAGAAATGTATGCATGAAAGCTTATTCAGTTCTGTTAATTCGTTACACGGAGTCATAATAATTCAATTCAATTCTTTATTATTTATGTGCCGAGTCAACAGCCGCAAGGCCAATTTCAGACAGAGCACAGGGTAGATACAAGTATTACATTATGGACAAACACAACATAAAGTCAAAGACAAATTACAGGCAAGCACTGGAGGAAAACACAATAATGCAGACAAGCAAACATACAAAAAAATAATAATGAAGAAAGCAGTCTCTGGGGTGTGGCACCGTCTAGATATGTTGTTAACCGACGTTTTGGGGGAAAGTATCGCCTCCATCTTCAGGGTAGAAGGAAAAATAAGAAAATCCGCAACCCCCCCCCTGACATGACGCCAAATCCACAAGGGTACACAGGCCATGACCGACTCACATAGCAACCCCTCCAGCCTAAGGGTTAGTGCCCTCCTATTAACCTTGCCTTTCTCTCCCCCGACACAATATCCTATACAAAACCCTGCTTCTGTCCCAGACNATAATAATAATAATTTCATTAACATAAATCAATAATGCAACCAAGTAAACAAACAAATAATAATAATAATAACAATAATAATAATAATAAAAATAATAGTAAATATATTGTTGTGATTGTGTTGTTGTATTAAGCATCATGTCATGAAGTTGTATGGGAAACGGAGGTATAGCTCCATGTAAATTTTAACATATACAAGTTTAACTGTAATGGCTTGAGCTTGTTAAGAACCGTACTCAGGATATCAAATTGAGGGAGCCACTTTGCGATCTTGACGTTGTTAGGCTGACCAGGCATAGCGTCGGATTCCCACTTCCAGAGAACTCGCTGTGGCAGCTCGGAGAACGCCTGCAAGAAGGCGTCCCTCTTCTCGGACGGTAACGTTTCTGCACGTATCATTGAGCCCATGCTGAAGTAGATAACTCCGTGTTCCGCTTCGTTCAGATAATCTTCCAAGTCCTGCATATGAAATCACAAATTTCATTCAGAATTAACCTCCTGTCACCAACATTAAAGTATCAAATTTACCGCATATAATTTTAGGGAAGATACGAGTATGACAAGCATATCGGCTTATTTTAAGTTGGACCTACTGACAACCAGCCTCTGAATTTGAGGAAGATACAACAAGCAGCTGGTATTCATTCTTTTCAAGGGAATCATAATTTAGAAGTGAAGAAGTCCATTGCTTTATTTAGGATTAAACACGAGTGTTCACGAACGAGTCCTCGACACTAAAGCTATAGGAGATTGAGTTTGCTCAATGTTGTTATTGAGATCGTGATGAAAAGAAACGTTCTGGCAGTTCTTCTGTCGACAGTTACTTTACAGAGTATAAGAATTCATGCCTAGGTTTGAATTACTTGGATTTTACGGTTCTTCCTTAGTTCTGATTAATGATATAAAATTCATTCCTTCCTTGAACAGCATGTTGCTGGGAACAAATGCTATTCAATCTAGAAATGCGAAGCTATTCATATAGATGTCTCTAAGAAAACAAACCACGTAAACACATAAACAAGAGACGTATTAACAAACGGCTTCAGATATTTACAAGTCGTAGATCACCGGAATTCGAGAGGTAGGCCTACTCGTTTCGAATCCATACCATAACAGGTAATTTTGACGTGTGGTGCCTGGAATTTTCCTTATTTTCCTGTATCTTAAGATCTTAACGCGGATAATTTATTTGTGTGACGCCCCCCCCCCCTTCATTATTAACAAATATGCTACCATACTTAAACAATAAAAAAACTGAACGACGTTGCCCAAATTCCCCGAAGGATCACACGTTACTTTTACCTTTGGCAGTTTCTTGGGCGGCTTGATGTGGAGACCACCGACTTCAACAATGCCGGGAACGAGTGGCCGTGGCCGGTTGAGGCTGAAATGAGAGTTAACCAGCAGAAGATCCGTGTTCTTAGAGATGTCGGACAGCAATGGTACATCGTCGCCGAAGTGTTTGCGGATGTAACTTTGAGTTACTATTCTTTCAGTAGCATGGAATAAAAATTTAAATGCGATGTTTGCAATGGCGTTGAAGAACCTTTCACTGAAGTTCATTTTGTCAGAAAACCATGTTCCATGTGTGGGGATATAGGACGGGTTGTCGGGGTTTCCCATGCGGTCGTTTGACCATGGGAACATTATGCATGAACTCATTGCTACATGAGGTGCCTTGAATTTGTGTACGAAGGGTAAAAAGCAATCCGTAAGAAATGTTTCAGTTATTATGAGATCAAAATTAACTTGAGAGTTTAGTAGTTCCTGAACATTATGAAAGGACAACATTTGATCACATGTTACGAAAAAATTTGAAAATTCTTTTATCATAGTCTTAAACAGCCTTATGCCTGACATGTTCTGCAGATCAATCCTGTCTGTCGCGTGTATGGTAATGGAGCCCACAAGACTAATGTCCGTGTAATTAGGTATTGGCTGCTTCTGTGGGAAGTGGCTGAGTACAACAACATGGTGGCCCCTAGTAGCGAGTTCTTTAACAAATGGCTCGAACACGTCAAAGTGGCTTTTCCCAATGTAGGGGAAGAGGGCGAGGATCCTGGCGCCTGAGACTAAGGATGCGCACCAAGATGTCAAAATCACGAAGCCGAGGACTCTGTAGTTCATCTGAAACAGAACAATTGGTATGATGTAGGCGGTACGTCAGATTCACCAAGAACACTACTGTGAACGTTATTTGAAACAGAACAAGTGGTATGCGCTAGGTCTGCATTTCAAAGTCACTAATAACAAGGCTCTGTAGTACCCTAACAGAAAACCAGTGGTATCGTAACACATATCAGGACTTCAAATTCGGGAGAAAGATTTCTTCAAGACCTGAAGCAAATATACGATGGTCTCAGGCGTTAACAAAAATTCCAAATGTAACGAGTTACATGGCAAGCGTGTAACCAAAGGGAAGGGAATAAAAAGTTTAGACTTAATTGTGTTACGCAAATAAGTATTGGATTGCTCTAATCTTATCTTGTTGCAAGATACGTTATATATATATAGTAAAACAGTTTCTTACAGTGTTGTCAGTTTCCCTCACCAGCCTGAGATTTAGTTCTTAGGCAAACGCTATATGAACTGTCAGGTATTGATCAAATTCCGATGATGCTGTTTTAGACTCTGACCTCCGTGACTGTGAATGAATGAATGAATGAATGAATGTACAAGGGGTGGGCCTTCTCGGCCCTTGCCCCACGACCTACAGTGGTCTATTGTGCTTCCCCTTTTGATTATCCCCTCATCAGTCCCGCGCATCGAATGAAGCGTAGGATTTTGTACGTGGGGGCGTCAAAATAGTCACTTGGTTCCATAAAGTACTGGCCCAAGTGACGTAATCTTAAATAAGCTAAGGCCTCACATTCATACAGGATATGTGTGGCTGTTTCATTTTCTTCTTGACACCTCTCACAAGTGGGACTATCACTTAGTCCCAGTTTCGGTGACTATGAAGATTATTGTCTTTGAGATGTGTCGCTGTGTATTCTGATAGATCTTTTTTTCCGACTTTTGGGAAGAACTTACTGCCTCTATCTTCAGCTTGCCTTTCTGTCCTGAAGATGAAGGCAGTACTTTGTTCCAGACGTCGGAAAATATGTACCAACATAGCGTCGCATTCTAGAAGACTTTAATCTTCAAATTCTACCAGAATTAACTGAAGTGAAATATTAAGTCCTGATAGGTCTGTCCATAAACTTAATAATTCTGTGTTCAATATGGAAGAACTACTACGGCAGAGGAAGGAGCATATTCCTGTACTTATTCATAACAAGAATGTAAAATCGGTTTACTAATTGTCGAAATACAGTCTATTGATTTTATCAACATAACACAAAAATTCGTACAACATTATTTTCTCAAGATTCATGTGCAACAGAAATTTGTGGGGGGGGGGTCAGCATTATGAATCAATTACTGATTAACTTTTCTTAATTCGTCAGATACAGCAGAAAAAATCAGAGTACAATGGAACAGTACACCTTATATATATATTTCTTTATTGCTCTACAGCCCTTTCGACCTTGGTCCCTTTTTCAGTTTCTTAATCTATGCACAATCGGTGGGACTCCTTGGACGGGGGATCAGCTCATTGCAAGGCCGATATCTACCCACAGAACAGTACAAACTCAGAATAAACGCAGGCAGACATCCATGCCTCGAGTGGGATTCAAACCCACGACCCCAGTGTTCGAGCGGACGAAGACGGTTTGCCTCAAAACGTGCGGCCTCTGTGGTCGGTTCAGTTATATAGGGAGTCCTTAATATTCTATGATTCAGTTGGGCGGTAAGCACTGAACAGTGTTCTTACTGAGTCTGGTATACGTATGAAACTCGTTGGCCAATTAAACTATGTTAAAATGAAATCTATACAAAAGCCTACACAGGCGACAAAAACGAGAGATATCATTATATTTTTTTCAACTGTCCACACATCGATAATTATCGATTATAATTATAATCAATGTCAGTAATCTAAATTCGTTGTTATCTTGCAATATATATTTTCTCTTGTAACCTAATAAGCTAATATGGGCCATTATGTTGATATATTTCATGGAATGAAATTTCAACTATAAACTATAAGATGACTTTCAATGGTTTGTCTTAATATCGAGGTTTTACGAAAATCATCAGTTCTTGCTGAAGTTTGTACTGTTACCGCCCTCCTCTTCGTCGTTACCGCTCAGTGAGACTTCAAGCCTCTCGAGTTGGTCGTCACTTATACCTGCCCTTCACGTTCGCCCCTTTGTGGTCTGCTCTTTCATCCGCCGCTTCCTTGTAGCTGTCTGGTTCAGGGTAGGGTGTGGGATTGCTCTGAATTTGAATTTGTATGGGCGCCAGTGGACTTGGATGAAATCCACGAGTTTTGGACGGTGAAAACAAAGGTGGGGATTTGGATAGGCGGACGTTTGGGATTCCGACTGCTCAGACGGTAGGACGAGATTCTGTCTCAGGGCGACTTCTGGGCCTTGCCCACACAAGGAGAGAGAAAGCACTCAAAACTCGCACTTCGCCAACACTGTTGCTCCTTATTGTAGATGTGCACTAGAATTACACACTAAGAGGCCATAGCACTTGGACTTTGTACACCGGACTCGGCCAACACCGATTTAACGTCCGGGAGGTTACTCCTGTTACTCCCCTTTGGCTACTCACTCCTGTTACTCACTGTTGATGTCTAGTGACTGCTGTTATTCCCTGTAATGACTGACTGCTCTGGAGAGGCAGAAGTCCCGACGGTTCCGGGAACGCCTGGATTCCTCTCCTCTGAAATTTTGCTGATTGGCTGAACCTAAAATTTGGGTGTTTCTCTCATTTGCATTCAGCCAATCCCTAACCAGATCCATGTTAATTTGGGCCTAAGTACAACACTATCCCTCTGACAGCTCTCAAATAAATGGAGGTACGCTAACGATCGCTCGGTACGCCCCTCCGAAAATTATAGCGACTCGTATCTGTCAAGCCTCAAATTTTCAAAGACTCGAACCGTCGAAGTTAAGCATTGAAATCCCCAGAAAACACAGCGGGATACTTCCTGCTCCGTTCTGGGTTTTCAAGTGACCTGCAGCTTGCTTGTCCCTCAGAAAGACCAGATGTCGTCCTTGGCGTCTGCTGGTGCTGGGGTCAATTCTGTATCACCTTTTGTTAACAGTAGTACAGTTCGTTTACATGCAGTGCATTGTAATTAAAAATGTAAATCAACGACATTGCTGAGGTTCCTGCGTGGTGCGGTTACAGTGCTTTTACTACGGTTCAGATTTGGCGTCTAGGCGACATGCAGGTCTACCAACAACGCTTAAGATCACAGGCGAAAATACATTAAGCTTACAAAGGCTTTTCAGATAACTGGATATAAGTGCAAGAGTGTAGGAGCTTGGTTACACATTCGTACATGTTCTTACGTGTTCATTTGTTGCTCCAGTCTCTCTTTATATTGTCACATACATTTAAACTGATATCTTTTCCCACCATACTGAATTCATATTAGTTCTTTGGAAGAATGGAAAGTAAATTACTAGAAGTGACATGCAGCCAGCAATTAAATCAAACTTACAGTTAACACAAGAATGTAGCAACAAATAAATAGTAACTCCAGTAGACGTCAGCAACAAGTAACATTCCGCACGGATATAATTGGTGCTTTGAGTGCATACTCAACAAACATCACAATGCAAAAACGGTCGGCAGGGCTCACAATATACGTGGAACTCAGCGTGTTTTTTAATGCAGCGGAAGTTCATTGCCCATACCGAAAATGAGCTATTAATTTTTAAAACCCATTAACAAGAAAATAGTTTTATTAAACGTCCATTAATTTAGGTACATACACAAATCCATTTCTATAACACAATGCAAATATATACCTTTGGTTTTCTGTTTAATCTGCACTGGGTTCGTTACAAATGCAGCGAAACGCAGCATTCGCGTTAACACCACCTTGCGGTCATGACAAAACTGCGCCTTGCTTTGTCATGCAGTTTAAGTGGTTACGTACGTAAGAAACCATCATTATCACATTTTATCAACTTTAGTTTCGTGTAGGATCACAGCGGTGGTTCCAAGGATAACTATCTTCTGTGACATAGTTTAGACATCAACTCTCAGCGAACTGCACAGCGTTATGTCCCACAACAGAGAGCTGCTCTACCCTATGAAATGAATTCTTCAGAGAAGCGGCTTGACAGCCCAACAAAGAATTTAATAAGAAACTAAGATGCTACATTTTTTACTTCACTTCGTGGCTTTCCATGAGGTTTTATTCCACAGATGGCGCTTCAGTTATTTTATATGTTCTTGTTAACTGTCGCTGAATTAGCTTGGTCTTAAGTGGTTAACTTTCTGCGTGACCCCCAAGGGTCTAGCTTCCCGGGCCTCGTCATGTGGGATTTGTGGTGGACACAATGTGGAACTTGGATAGATTTTCTCCAAGTACTTCGATTTCCCCTGCCAATCTTCGTTCCACCAACTGCTCTACAATCACCATCATCTAGGATTGGTACAATAAGCTACAATTAGCCAAAGCAACAAATGGTTTCTCACGTCAACAAAAATAATAATAAAAGAATCCTGTCCACACTCCGCCCCCTTGGCTCCATTTCTCTCAACATCCATCTAAATATTCTATTTGTATCCCCAAGAGACCCTTCAATTTATCCTATCAAAATATCCTTTGTATTCCTCTCCTGTGACTGACATGCCCTTGGTTCTTTACTGTTGTTATCTTCAAGTAATTCAATTTCAATCGAGAATTGTGTGCGAAATTGTTTTCTGACACACATGGGTCTTGTTTATGTGTAGGTAAGAATGAAGAGGCATTACTTTATAACTGACTTGTAAAGTTCAGGTTATCCACCTCAGTGTGAAACTCTGAGAAGCAGAATCAGTATCAGGGTTGAATGTGGGTAGGACCATTTATGTAATTTCTTTACCTATTTCATTTTCGTTACATCCAGCATCTTCTTACGTCTTCTTCCTCGTCTTCTGGTCACTTCTATCCGGCCTTCTATCTTTCCTTCAATAACTTCTTTTAGAAGACAGTTCTAAAAGAAGTTATTGAAGGAAAGATAGAGGGGCGGATAGAAGTGACCAGAAGACGAGGAAGAAGACGTAAGAAGATGGTGGTTGACCTTGGGGACAGAAGAGGATATTCTCATTTTAAGGAGAAAGCTCTAGATCGCATTATGTGGAGGAACTGTTTTGGAAGAGCCTGTGGACCTGTCGTCTGACAGATTACTGATTAAACATTGTTATTCACTTTTGTTGTTATACACGTAGGTGTATTCAGTCTCTTACTTTTGCCATATAATCCTACCTGTAGTGAACTGGTGAACATTAACATAAGATTTTCAATAGTAATTGCATTTCTTTAAGATATACTGGTATTATTAATTTTTGCTATATAATTGTATCCAATACTGAACTGGAAGATTTTCAGAATTCATTATATTTTTTTTTATCTTATTATTTCCGCCATATTATTCTGCTCAGTACTGAACTGGTGAAGATGAATATATCAGATTTTCGTATATAATTAAATGCAGTCTTAATCTTGTTGACAAGAGTGTATTTCACATTCTCGAATTCCACCATTCTAATGAAAATAATAATAAATAGGAACATGAGTATTATTGCTTACAATACATGATTTATAATACTTAAATGTAACTGAAAAACTGTGATCTGTATGACTTTCAAGTGTAAGTTATGACGAAATTATGGGGGTTAATATATGTGGTTCTCTGATGGAAACAGAATTTTCTTTCAAGTTTTCCCCACCTTCAGCTTCCCTAAATACAAGTATTCCATGTATGTTACAGTTCACAATGTTCAGTGCCTTTGGTTAAAGAGGTGTTTCATGTGAAAGAAAGGTTATGACTTTCCAGGCACTGGTGACAAACTTTCTCCAGATAAATAATTTGCAACCTAATCTCTTGTACTCCAGAGCTGCAGAGGCTCTTATTCCGTTGTTACTTTTTTTTTTTGGAAAGGGGGTGGGGACCAAGTTTAATAGCACTTGACTGATATCCAGCCCAAAGGATATGGGTGAAATTAAACTTACTTATGGAGCTGATCCCTTCTAGAGAACCTGCCAATTGTGCAGCCGCTCAAGAATTTTACAGCCTTTTATGGTACCCGAAGGTTCATTACTGTGTTCACAAGAGCCCTCCACTGGTCCCTATCCTGAGCCAGATCAATTCAATCAATACCATACCATCCTCTCTCTCTAGGATACATTTTAATATTGTCCACCCACCTACACCTTGGTCCTCCCAGTAGTCTCTTTCCTCCTGGTTTACCACCAATATCCTATATGCATTCCTCGCCTCCTCCATTCGTGCTACATGCCCTGCCAACCTCATCCTCCTTAACTAGTGATACTGAACACAGCTCAAAAATATAAATAGGTTGGGGGGGGGAAATCTCTGCAGTACAAGAGATCTGGTTGTAAAAGTATTTATTGCTATTCTAGCGAACAAAGCATTGGGCTGGGGGGGGGAGCACTCAAAATAGTTGCTATGTTAGCATATCTTCTTACCTGCTCTCGGCCCTGTCGACCATTTTAAATTTAGTTAATGTAGGATGCGTAATGACGGCAGTAGCATTGCACCGTGGTGTCATGGCGGCCATGTTGCCCACCAATAACATGGGAGTTTCACGGGGCTGCCAGAGAGTGTTCGTTAGTCATATGTCGGAACGTCGTTACTGGTCGTTACTACAGCCTCGCATTCTGTACGCTACGCTGACACCAGATGGCAGGCTTAGTATCTGTTCAATAGACGGCTACAAGATGGCGGAACAGTGCACACCGCGACAGTTCAAAATTACACAACTCGCCTACTGCTTAACAGATAGCAGAAGCGTACACAGTCATGTTTAGAATTCTCCCCTCCCCCTTCTGCGCAATTTCGTCTGTTCTTTGGACCAAAAGTAAGAAATTACTATGGCGTCAATTCTTCGCCCAGGCATTGTTAAACCAAACTGCGCTGAAGTGATACCCTAGGCTCTGATTCACACGCATGAAACTTCGTGTACTGCAACAATCAAACTCCACCTTATGCTTCGAAGTACTGGTTTTTTTGGACTTTGTCCAAAACACGTTTCAGAAACTGGATCTGTTTCCGTTCTCAGGTGGGAAACACCTACTCTGTTGGGCCCCTTAGAAGGAGCTAATCTTATTCAAGGGACCTAGCTCTTTCTAAGAGACCCAATAGAGCAGGGATCTAGCCCAACACCTGAGGACGGAAACAGATCCAGCTTCCGAAACGTTGTATTTTCTCATTTATAGAATACTGGACGATGGGCAAAGTCCAAAATCTCAGTAATTCTGAATACCACACAAAACCGTCAGAACCCCTTAGAGCCTACCTAATTCTTGCTTATCGTATCCAGATCCTAAAAATGTAAACGAATTGACGCATTTTATATTATTTATGACGATGGCACTAATTAGTGGTAACATCGCTCTTTTCCAACCCGCCTTTGCTTGTATCGGCGCAGTCGGAATGGTGCTATCCCTGCTACACCTGTTTCTACCTTAGGACAGTGTATGGTGGCTACTTGGGGCAGGTACAATAGGCCAATCAGTGGACGCCGTGTCGAGTGGACCCAGCTGGTCTCCACCCCCCACTAAGCGAAAAGAGCGAAGTGGTTACCATATTTACTAACTTCTGTATTGTTAAAAATGTCTTAATTTTGAAGAAAGGAGCATACTTATAATTTTCATATGATTCTGAGAATAAAAGGTGATTATTTCCTTACACAACATTCACCAGCTCGTCCTTGTAATGGAAACGCTGTGAATTTTCTGTGAGGTAGGAACTGATTTTCTAAGTAATATTTAGAATAATTTAAAGCTTCAAATATATAATAATATTTTATGTCCTTTGGTATATAGATGTAGCACATTTAGTCAGAAGGAAAAGCAGAAAAATTTAGAGCAGAGAATATTTTTGACGAAGCATCTTGCTTCTCATTACTTCGAAATATCTTCACCCGCACCGAGGATTCTATTTCTGTGGGGCTCTAGCAGCAAAGGTATGATGGTCATTGGGAGATAATCTGTATAATTTAAATTATAAACTACTTCTCAATCAATTGCTAAGCTGACAATATATTTCTCCCTTGACGCTGTTTCATGAGATGACAGTTATGAACACTTAATATTAGCTGAATCGAGAACCAAATGTTTTTATATTCTCATAAGAAGCCCATTTCAGACATTGAAGTTTCGCTTCCTTACAATTCCTCATAACTTGCCTCTGAATCTCAGTGTTCTTACCACAGTAAGGAAGAAGTTACGTCCACTGTAACATAACAATCGGGCCGTGCCATAAGTCAGGCGGTTAGTCGCCGGCGTTCCGCAGCGGCGGCTCGGGTTCGAACCCAGTTCAGGTCTTGTGAGATTTATGGTGGACAAAGTGGCACTGGGGAGGTTTTCTCAGAGTACTTTGGTTTCCGTTACAAATTCTCATTCCACCGACTGTTCCACACTCAGCATCATCTACCACTCGGGGCTGGTACAATAGGCCAAATAGTGGTCGACGTACCAAGTGGACTAACCCCGCACCCCAAGAAACCAAAAACACTAACTAACCTAGCAATCGGTAGTCTGCGTGTTTGGAGCGGAAAGAGGTTGTTTTCACCCAGAGGAGAAATCCAGCCAGATTCTCGACTCAAGCAAAATATATTGTTCTCTCCCTGTCCCGCAGTGGCTCGCATGGAATTCTGCAGACCTGAATTTACTCCATGGTGACAAATTTTACTGTAAAGATGATGGGATGAATTTCAATATAAAGTATAAGCTTGCTACCCAAAGGCAAACATTACAATATTGAAAGAATATATAAGTAGAATTGCATTACTTATAACCGCCAATATTGTTATCATGTATTCATATTAACAACAAACTCTGATAGTAGAAGCAAAATTTTTAACACCGCTCATCCATCTCCCTTATTCAAATTATTTTCCTAAGATTCAATTTAATGCTCTAATCCCTTCTCCTTCTCTACCNCAGGATGCTCTCTGCAGCTCCTCCACACAACCTACGAGGACACTTCGTCCTAGGCCCTCTGCTTTCATTATATTTTCATACTGAGTCTTTCGCACAACACTCATTCACTCACTTCAGTCTATGTATGCAAACACAACTTTTTATTTTAAATGTCCCTATTAATTACATTCATAAAAGGACATTAAAATGCCATTTATTTCTACATGTTTCGGCCTCACGAGGCAGCTGCTAACTGATCGAAATCACTGCATTGCATGAGCTTACATGTTGTTATTGCATGTCGCTCTGTTTGAGAATGTACTCTCGTATTTACTCATGCGAGTTATATGTTGCGGCGTTCATACTGTGTTCCTCGTTGGTGCTTCTTCTAGGTCAGGCGTCATAATATCCTAATTTCCAAAGAAACTCGTCTTGAGTTAGAACAATTTCC